TAAACATATTCTAAGAGCTCTATATTGAATTCTATCTATACTTTTTAATAATGTTTCTGAAGCTGACCCATAAATTATGCTACCATAATCAATTGTTGATCTGATCAAGGCTTGATATATTGTTAGCATTGAGTCTCTTTCTGCTCCCCATTCTTTCCCAGCTATTGCCCTCATCACATTTAAGATCCTCCTGCATTTTTTATCAATTTCCTCAATATGTTTTTTCCATGTATATCTCCCATCTAACCACATTCCCAAATATTTAAATGTTTTAACTTGTTCTAAAGGTTTCCCATATAAAACTAATTCAATTTCCTTAAAATCTTTTTTCCTGCTAAATATCATGAAACATGATTTACTAGTAGACATTTTAAAACTCCATTCTATACTCCAATCTTCCACCTTTTTAATAGCCATTTGAATCCCTGAAATCACTTGTTTTGTATTTCTTCCTCTCTTCCAAATAGCCCCATCATCAGCATACAATGCACATCCCACACCATATCCCAAATTATCAAAAATATCATTAATCATAATGTTAAAAAGAATTGGACTTATAACACTCCCTTGAGGAATGCCATTTTCTGCCGTATAATTTAATGATTGACAGGCTCCCACTTGAACTACAAATGTTCTTTCATACAAAAATTGACATAACCAATTATACATATTTCCATCTATTCCTATCCTTGATGCTTTAATTAACAACCCTTCTCTCCATACCGTATCATACGCTTTTTCTATATCAAAATATACTACTGCCATAATTTCTTTCATAGTTATCGTCTTCTCTACTTCATTACTGATCTTGATTAATGCATCCATTGTTGATCTCTTGCCTCTAAATCCACATTGGAACTTACTAAATGTACCCCTTTTCTCTAGATCATATGTTAATCTATGAACAATAATCTTTTCCATTAATTTACATAAATTTGAAGTCAGTGCAATTGGACGATAACTTCCTGGGTTTGTTGAATTTTTTCCTGGCTTAACAATAGGGATTACTACAGCTTTCTTCCATATTTTTGGAATAGTTCCTTCCATCCATATTTTGTTATACAACTCAAGTATCTTTAATAACATACAATCTGACAAATGCTTTATCATTGTATAACTTACTTTATCAATACCAGGAGTGGTATTTGCACATTTTTGTAACGCTACTTTCAGTTCAGTAAGTGAAAACTCTAAATCCATACAGCTCTTATTGCTCATTCTTTTCTTCATAATATCTGGGTTTTTATCTAAAATTTCCTTTTTCCTTATCTCATATTCTTCCCCCAATTCTATTCTATGTGCTCTTTCTAAAACCTTACCTAACATGTTTGCTTTATCTATATCTACTACTGCAGTCTTTTCGTCTTCAATTAAAACAGGAATTGTAGCTGATTTCTTTCCTTTTCCATTCATACTCCTTAACATATTCCATATTTTATCCATAGGTGTATCTTTTCCTATGGTAGAACAAAATTCTCTCCATCCATTTCTCTTTGCATTCTTAATTATTCTTCTTGTTTTAGCTCTTGCTTTCTTATATTCCACCAGATTGCTCATACTCATATTTTCCCTGAGTTGTTTAAATGCCTTATTCCTTTCTTTAATTGCATGACTGCACTCTTCCTTCCACCATGGAATATTTTTGTTTTTCTGACCTGCCATTCTTTGTGGTATATACAATGTTGCAGCTTCCATTATTATACTTGTAATTGAATCGCAAAATGTTTCTACTGAATCTTCTACCATTAAATCTTTATTTTCTTCACAATGCTTACTGAAAGAATTCCAATCTGCCTTCTCATACAACCATTTCTTTTGTAGTACATATTCTGGATTATTATCTACATTCATTTTACAAATAATTGGGAAATGGTCACTTCCAACCGTGTTCTCCCCATTAATTTTCCATTCACATAATTCAGCCATACTATTTGTTATTAATGTTAAATCTATACTTGATACCGAATTCTCTGTTATATTATACCTAGTTCCTTCTCCTGTGTTTAAACAAACTAATGATCTTTCGTCCATTAGCTGTTCTATTATTTCCCCATTATAATCTGTATTTTTACTCCCCCATAACCAATTATGAGCATTAAAATCACCACACCATAATTCTTTTTTCTCTTTCTTAATCTTTTCAAACAATTTTATTGATATCTTCTTACATGGATTATAAAAATTATATATTACAATTGAATCTTCTCTAAAATATATTTCAACCACAACACATTCCATATCTATTACCTCACATAACTCCCTATATACAGTTCCTTCTTTTATAAAAGTTACCACCCCTCCCCCTTGTTTCCCAACTCTATCCTTTCGAATAGACTTATATCCTGGTAATGTAAATTGCAGGTTTGGCTTGAGCCAAGACTCTTGAACACAAATTATACTTGGCTTATGATCTAAATCCAATACAAATTTTTTAAATTCTTGACCATTTGCTACAAGGCTCCTTGCGTTCCATTGCATTACATGTATCACCATTTATCTACTCAGAAACTTGTGCAACTTCAACTGATGTTGCTCTGGTTAGAATTTCATGTATTGCACTTACTGAGATCCCAGAGATCCCTAGGAATTCTGAAGCAGCTTCTAGAATTGTTTTAATCTTTGCCGATCTGCTTGGCAACATAGCAGTGACATTAATTACCTTAACAATAAAGGCTAGAAAGTTCTCTTTAGTCATTATTAATGTATTTTCTTTTATCACACACTGTTGCTCTGGTTCCTTAGTTTTCTCGATTTTGTTCCTTGAATCTTGGTTGAGATTATCCCTCCTCTCTTCCCTCCTGTCCTCCTTACTTTTGCAGATCTTCACTGCTTCCGCATATGTGACTTTATGCTCCGTCTTGTATTTTTGTACTTCTCTTGCTTTAATTTGTACCTCACATCCTCCATATGCTGCACTGTGAGCACCTCCACAATTGCAACATTTTAATCCATTTACCTCTGTGCATTTATCATAGTCATGCTCACCTCCGCATTTTGCACATCTTACCTTCCCCCGACACACTGCCGCCACATGTCCCATTCGTTGACATTTAAAACATCTCAATGGCATTGGAACATACTCTCTTACTGGATAACTTATATATCCCATTTGTACCTTTACAGGCATTTTCCCTTCAAATGTCAACAATACACTTAAACTTTCCTGTCGTTGTCCTTCCATCGTCTTATACAGTCTTCTCACATTAGAAATCTTACCTCCTCTTATATTTTCAAGCATTTCTTGATTGGTTATATAGGTTGGAATCCCATATATCACCCCCTTTTCCCCCTTTTCTACTCCAATCTCTTTGGTTGTGACCTTTTCTCCATTCATTTCTTTTGTCTTAAGTAGTTTGTTTTTTTTCCCAACATCTTTCACTATGACCAACACTCTCCCTTGTCCCAAACATTTAGCCAAAACCACTGCCCCAACGATTTTATCGATCGCCTTAGATAGTCCTATTGGATGCAAATGTGTTCCTGTAATCTTTTCAAAAGTCAACATAACTTTGAATCCAGACTCCTTAACATTTTGAACAGTTTGTTCTCTTACAATTTCTTGATTTTCTTTTGTCTTTTTTTTTGTATTGTCCTGCATTGGTTCCGTCATATCTTCGCTATCCTCTTGTTCCTTAGATTTTTTACGTTTTGCATTTTTTTTCCTTTGACTTTTTCCCAAGTAAACCTCCGTAAAATCTTCCCTATCCTCCACTATCGATTCTTCTGAATCTTCCTCCATGACTGCACAACAGCTCTAAGTGTCCTCGTTTTGTTTCGCTGTGCAGCTAGCAGTAGCCCTCACCCTTCCTGGTACGTCACTGTAGAGCTGACGCGATCGCCCCGAGAAATAATTGTTTAGAGTTTGCACCTAAATACCAATAGCGCTACGCTTTCCATAAATTATCTTTCACCAATCATTCTTTATATAAAAAAATACTTTTCGCGTTGCTCTTATTTAATAGACTAATGATACTTTGTCATTAAAGCTAAGCTATAATAAAAAGGCTTGATTTTTTTCTTGAAAATTATTATAACAGGGGGTTATTGTGCGCGTGCTACACATATATATATATATATATATATATATATATATATATATAATTATTATTATTATTATTATTATTAACTGTTGGCAAGCAAAGGCAGCTGGAACATTTATTAAATATGTAGAATATTTTCCAAAGCTTGTTTGCACTTTATTTGTCACAAAACCTCATTCAATCAGTTCCTCATTTAAACTACGACAGTGTTTCTCAAATAATGTTAGTTTAAAAAATAATATCTTATAAGTTAATCTTTCAACATAATGACGAATTATTATTTTATTTGATGTAATAAGATTGCTATGATAAAAAGCTAAGCGTCTCGAATTTTCCGTTAGAAGGCAACTATTCCTGCTGTTCAACAGTATTTTCCAGTGGTGTTCTGAAACAGCGCGTTCGGATCCAAAATGGCGGCCCGTGGAGTTGCGCCCGTGATTATCCGGGATTCTGGGGACGTGACCAATCAGAGAGCAGATCACGCAAGAAGGCGGGGTAAGGGACCCTCGGAAATTCGGTTGTTACACCATCGTTAGTGCACAAAAATGCCAACTGAACGGCGGGACTGAATTCTAAAATCCTTCTAAACCGTATTTAATGTTCAAAATCATTCGATGTTACTCGCAAAGCTATGTACATCCACGCCGCATAAACGTGAGAGGGATTCTTTGACGTCACTTTAATGCAGACCAATGAGCGGCCTCTATATGTGGGCCACGAGCAGTGTGACCTATCGGGATAGCGCACAGGCAGCATAGAATTAAAACTATAGATCGAAACATCGTTTTAAATGCTCAGTATTATACAATTAATATCAAACAGGCTTTCGGTCGGTATTTACGCGGTAACATAAATATTGAGAGATTCATAGTTGCTTATCTATCTTTACAACGCTTAGAACCTTATATATTAAGCGGTGGGGGAGATCTAGTTTGTGACTATCTGTGCTCACCGGGGTTGGCGCATGCGCAGTTTGCCGAAACGTTATGAAACTGTTTTGTCCCAGTTCTGTGTGACTGGAGTTTAGGAATCTGAGATATTCCGCGGATATATTTATTAAAACCATCATGAAAATATCACTGGGACTCAGATAAAGTCACTGCACTGCATTGGTGCCGCCTCAGGTAAGTCTGCTCTCACAGTCTGAATTTATCGAATATAAACGACATAAGGTTACATAAAAACCGACAGCATGACCCATTTGTTAAAAACACATACATCTGTATTTAAACCTAAACCTTGTGTTTATCTATAATGTGTTTGTGATATCTGATGATGTAAGTGACTCGATTGAATGACTGAGGGTCCGATTATTAGACATTTCAAAATTATATGATAAAGTGCTGATACTTGTATGCAATGCCTTCTATCCTTTTGTTTTGTAAAAAGTAATTAAAGGTGAAATATTATTTAAAAATGTATTGATGAAATAATAAATAATAATAATATATAAATTGTATAAATATTAATATTATTAGATTTTTAGTATTAGTAGCATAATTATTATTAATGAATTATTTATTAATGTTATTATTAATACAATAAAACAGCCTTCAACAATTATTATCATCAATAATTATCAACATTCAACACATTCAATTAATAACACTTTTAATTAATTTAATGTGTTAATAATAATAATAACAGTTATGAATTAAACTTTAATTATTATTAACTATAATAATACTAATAAACAGTCTTCTAGTGTTATTAATGTAATGTGTTACTGATTGTAATAATATTTCAGATCTGTAAATGTGTTTGTGTGATGATGTTTCAGGGGAGATCCGATCATGTCCTCCGTCAACTCGGTCCACTGGTTCCGCAAGGGCCTCCGTCTCCATGACAACCCGGCCCTGCTGGAGGCCCTGCGCGGCGCCCAATCACTGCGCTGCGTTTACTTCCTGGACCCCTGGTTCGCCGGGGCCTCCAACCTGGGCGTCAACAGGTGGAGGTGAGGGACACACACACAGTTTTTATGAATTGTCATTATGATTATCAGAGGGATGATGGTGCTGCCCTCTGGTGGCTGTACAGAAGACACACACTGTGTTTGGGTGTGTGTGTCAGTTATGATGAGTCTCCATCTCTCACATCCGTGTGTCTGAGAGTGGAGTTACATTCAGTTGTTATGTATTATTAACCCCTTATTAACTGTTAAACAGTGTGTTTGTCTGAACTTGTTACTCATGTCCTGTGTGTGTGTGTTGTTCCAGGTTTCTGCTGCAGTGTTTGGAGGATCTGGACTCTAGTCTTCGTAAACTCAACTCTCGCCTGTTCGTGATCCGCGGTCAGCCGGCCAACATCTTCCCGCGGCTCTTCAAGGTACGGCTAACTCCGCCGCGATCATGCTAACCTTTTGATAAAAAGGTCTATACCTTTTGTGTGACCCTCATCCTTCCCTCTGGTCATTTTGACCCGTATACAAATATTTGGTTCATTGGAGGTGTTGCACTTGTACGGAGGCGTATTGCATTCACTTGAAGAAAAAAAATCTACTCTGTTTTTCTGAATTAACGAGTTGATTTTTCATGAGAAAAAAATGTTTTGCTCTGTTTTTCTGAATTAATGAGTTAATTTTTCATGAGAATTTTTTTTTGCTGTTTTTCTGAATTAATGAGTTAATTTTTTGTGAGAAAAAAAAATATTTTGCTCTGTTTTTCTGAATTAATGAGTTAATTTTTCATGGAATTTTTTTTTTGCTCTGTTTTTCTGAATTAACTCGTTAATTTAGAAAAACAGAGCAAAAACTTTTATTCTCACAAAAAATTAACTCATTAATTCAGAAAAACAGAGCAAAAAATTTTGAGACAGAGTAGATTTTTTTTTCTTCAAGTAAATGCAATACGCCTCCATACGGATACACCAAAAAATAATTTGAATGGATTTTCAGGAGTTTTATGGTTGAAAGTAAAAAAAAAAAAAAAAAAAAAAAGCAGCCATGACGGGCCCAAGCCGGTGCACCGGCCTTTAGTTACCCTGAAAAAATATTAGATTATTTTTAGTTATTTTAAAAAGAATGTGAGGAATGTCCTAAAATTACTATTTATTGATTAAATTGAAAGGTAAATAAAATCAAAAATAATAAAAATCTCTAACAAATGTGCATTCAAAATGAAAAAATATTATCAAAAAGTTTTCTGGACAAAAAAAAAAAACACGTGTTAGTTTAATTTTAAGGCTAAAGGTCATTTTTAGGGCGAGGGGTAAACATGTGACGTGTGTGTGTGTGTGTGTCAGGAGTGGAAGGTGTCGCGACTGACGTTCGAGTGCGACTCGGAGCCGTTCGGGAAGGAACGAGACGCTGCTATAAAGAAGCTGGCGTCTGAGGCGGGGGTGGAGGTCATCGTGAAGATCTCACACACACTCTACGACCTCGACCGGTGAGAACCTTAAAGGGAAAACTTTCAGACGAACACAATCAGAGTTATATTAAACATGTCCTGGCTCTTCCAAGCTTTATAATGGCAGTAAATGTGTGTGTGTGTGTGTGTCCATGAAAGTGCTGAAAGTAGAAATCAGCGGCTAATTTCCATTTTTGGGAGAACTATCCCTTTAAGTGACTCATCACTGAATCTGACTGACGCTGTTGTCTGATTGGCTGTCAGGATCATCGAGCTGAACGGCGGTCAGCCTCCGCTAACGTTCAAGCGCTTCCAGTCGCTAGCGAGCAGCCTCGAGCCGCCAGAGCCCCCGCTGGACCCGCCCACACTGGGGCTGATGGGAAACTGTGTGACGCCCGTCGGCAACGACCACACGGAGAAATACGGCGTCCCCCTGCTGGAGGAGCTGGGTAACACACACTCACTCACACACACACACACACAGTGTGGTCAGAGCAGTGCATGATGGGAGTGTTTGTGTTAGGGTTCGACACTGAGGGTTTGGCTCCTGCCGTGTGGCCCGGGGGAGAATCAGAGGCTCTGAGACGCATGGACCGACACCTGGGACCCGATTCCACCGCGGTACGACATCACACATGCTAATCCGACCCCTAAACCTACCCATCACACACACACACACCCCAGACGTAAATCTCTCTCTCTCTCTCTCACAGGCGTGGCAGGAGAACTTCGAGCGCCCGAAGCAGAACTCGAGTCCTCTGCTGGCCAGTCCGCTGGGCTTGAGTCCGTACCTGCGCTTCGGCTGCCTCTCCTGCCGCCTGTTCCACCTCAAGCTCACTCAGCTCTACAAGAAGGTGCACACTCGCTCCCTTACACACTAGAGAAGTGACATCATAATCCACATGGGCTCTGTGTTTACAGGTGAAGAAGAACGCCAACCCGCCCATCTCTCTGTACGACAAGCTCTTGTGGAGAGAGTTCTTCTACACGGCCGCCACCAATAACCCGCGCTTCGACCGCATGGAGGGAAACCCCATCTGCATCCGCATCCCGTGGGACCGCAACGCCGAGGCGCTGGCCAAGTGGGCGGAGGCCCGCACCGGGTTCCCCTGGGTGGACGCCATCATGACCCAGCTGCGGCAGGAGGGCTGGATCCATCACCTGGCTCGCCACGCCGTCGCCTGCTTCCTGACCCGGGGGGACCTGTGGATCAGCTGGGAGGAGGGCATGAAGGTGCGCTGAGGGGCATTCTGGGTATCTCTAGGGTTTGAAATATAGAGTTGTGTTCTGTTTTGATGTTTGATGATATGCTTCATTTCTTTGTATTAATTAACCACTTGTAAACTTTGTGTTTTATACTGTATATATTCATTGAGTCAAATCGGGAGAGCTTGCGAATCAAAAGCGAATGAACCCTAACTAGTCTAGTGATTCGCCAGCGCTGATTTGTTCTTTGGATAACAGCGTCTCTGCTAAAGATGTACAAGCCCTGCGGGTGTGTAATAGCGCCGCGGTGTGTGTCGTGTCAGGTGTTCGAGGAGCTCCTGCTGGACGCGGACTGGAGTGTGAACGCGGGGAGCTGGCTCTGCCACTCCTGCAGCTCCTTCTTCCAGCAGTTCTTCCACTGCTACTGTCCCGTGGGATTCGGCCGGAGGATCGACCCCAACGGAGACTTCATCAGGTGGGAACACACATGTAGTATTTTTGTCCTTTCCAGTCCAAATATCTTAGATCAAGAAGCATTCACTTGATGTGTAAAATGCCATAAGATATTATGTCTTGGGATCTAAATTGAGTTTAATTAAAATTAAAACAAAATTATCTGCCGAGGGGGTAAGAAAAATAATCTGAATTCAAAAAGAAACAAAAATTATTTTTCTTATGCCTGTGAATTTCAGATTCACACTCAAAGGAGCTGATTCAGATCAGATTCACACTTCAAAAGAGCTGATTCAGTTCAGATTCACACTAAAAAGAACTGAGTCAGATCATATTCACACTAAAAAGAGCTGATTCAGATCACATTCACACTCAAAGGAGCTGATTCAGATCAGCTTCACACTCAGAAGAGCTGATTCAGATCAGATTCACACTCAAAGGAGCTGATTCAGATCAGCTTTACACTCAGAAGAGCTGATTCAGATCAGATTCACACTCAAAAGAGCTGATTCAGATCATATTCACACTTCAAAAGAACTGAGTTAGATCATATTTACACTCAAAGGAGCTGATTCAGTTCAGATTCACACTCAAAAGAGCTGATTCAGATCATATTCACACTAAAAAGAACTGAGTCAGTTCAGATTCACACTAAAAAGAACTGAATCAGATCATATTTACACTCAAAGGAGCTGATTCAGTTCAGATTCACACTCAAAGGAGCTGATTCAGATCAGCTTCACACTCAGAAGAGCTGATTCAGATCAGATTCACAATCAAAAGAGCTGATTCAGATCAGATTCACACTCAGAAGAGCTGATTCCGATCAGATTCACTCTCAAAGAAGCTGATTCAGATCAGATTCACACTCAAAAGAACTGATTCAGTTCAGATTCATACTTAAAAGAACTGAGTCAGTTCAGATTCACACTAAAAAGAACTGAATCAGATCAGATTCACACTCAAAGGAGCTGATTCAGATCATATTCACAGTAAAAAGAACTATGTCAGATCATATTCACACTCAAAGGAGCTGATTCAATTCAGATTCACACTCAGAAGAGCTGATTCAGATCAGATTCACACTCAAAGGAGCTGATTCAGATCAGATTCACACTTCAAAAGAGCTGATTCAGTTCAGATTCACACTAAAAAGAACTGAGTCAGATCATATTCACACTAAAAAGAGCTGATTCAGATCACATTCACACTCAAAGGAGCTGATTCAGATCAGCTTCACACTCAGAAGAGCTGATTCAGATCAGATTCACACTCAAAGGAGCTGATTCAGATCAGCTTTACACTCAGAAGAGCTGATTCAGATCAGATTCACACATTTAAAAGAGCTGATTCAGATCATATTCACACTTCAAAAGAACTGAGTTAGATCATATTTACACTCAAAGGAGCTGATTCAGTTCAGATTCACACTCAAAAGAGCTGATTCAGATCATATTCACACTAAAAAGAACTGAGTCAGTTCAGATTCACACTAAAAAGAGCTGATTCAGATCACATTCACACTCAGAAGAGCTGATTCAGATCACATTCACACTCAAAGGAGCTGATTCAGATCAGCTTCACACTCAGAAGAGCTGATTCAGATCAGATTCACAATCAAAAGAGCTGATTCAGATCAGATTCACACTCAGAAGAGCTGATTCCGATCAGATTCACTCTCAAAGAAGCTGATTCAGATCAGATTCACACTCAAAAGAGCTGATTCAGATCATATTCACACTAAAAAGAACTGAGTCAGTTCAGATTCACACTAAAAAGAGCTGATTCACACTCAAAGGAGCTGATTCAGATCATATTCACAGTAAAAAGAACTGAGTCAGATCATATTCACATTCAAAGTAGCTGATTCAATTCAGATTCACACTAAAAAGAAATGAGTCAATTCAGATTCACACTTCAAAAGAACTGAGTCAGATCAGATTCACACTCAAAGGAGTTGATTCAGTTCAGATTCACACTCAATGGAGCTGATTCAGATCATATTCACACTCAAAAGAGCTGATTTAGATCATATTCACACTAAAAAGAAATGAGTCAGTTCAGATTCACACGTCAAAAGAACTGAGTAAGATCAGATTCACACTCAAAGGAGCTGATTCAGATCAGATTCACACTAAAAAGAACTGATTCAGATCATATTCACAGTAAAAAGAACTGAGTCAGATCATATTCACACTCAAAGGAGCTGATTCAGTTCAGATTCACATTTCAAAAGACCTGATTCAGTTCTGATTCGCACTTCAAAAGAACCGAGTCAGTTCAGATTCACACTCTGCTGAAAGCCTCAGTTTTATCTGGGCGTCGTCTGGTGTTGTGGAGGTTGTGATGTTAATCTCTCCCTTTGATTCCAGACGTTACTTACCTGTCCTCCGAGATTTTCCAGCCAAGTACATATACGACCCCTGGAACGCGCCGGAAGACGTGCAGCTCGCCGCTAAATGCGTGATCGGCGTGGACTATCCCAAACCGATGGTGAACCACGCGGAGGCCAGTCGCCTGAACATCGAGAGGATGAGGCAGATCTACCAGCAGCTCTCCAGATACCGTGGACTCAGTAAGAGATGTTTACCTACTGCTACATTTGATCCTTTTTTTAAAGGTGCAGTGTGTAGTTCGGCATCTAGTGGTGAGGTTGTGTATTGCACCCAACAGAAGTTACGATGGCCGACAGGAAATGACGTCGTCGTCTGAAACAGCAGAGAGTAGCCAGTTAAACAATGATGTTTCTTTACAAAGATAAATTAAGAAATTAGGTTTACTTAACAAAACCCAGAACAGAACAAAACCCAGTAAGACGATACCATCAATACAAAACACATAAAACAGAAAGTAGGATGTACGTGTGATTATGTGTTAAGTTGTGTGTGTAAAACTGCCCCTCGTTTTCTTTCACCCGTCAGGTCTTCTCGCCGCGGTTCCATCCAACAACAGGGAGGACGTGGGTGTAAACGACGCCCGAGGGGCAACAGCGCCCCCTGAGCGTCGGAGGATGCAGAGCAGCTCGCCAACTCAACGTAAGTGTTTACAATCAGACGTCAACATCACATAAGTGTGTTTGAGCTAACGTCAGTCCGCTGTAATGCTCTGTGTGTCCAGCAGGGGTCAGGAGAGAGCAGACCGGTCCGAAACAAGCCTCCAAATACCGACACTCCCTCGGTGAGTCCAGCAACAAGTCCTTTGGTTTATTCGATGACCTTTTGTGAAGGTTTGCTGAAAATGTTTTTGTGTTTGTCCCCTGCAGGCCACCGTACGTCACCCTACACGAACCACGGCCACGAGTTCGCCGTCCCACAACAACCAGGTAAAAAAACATGTGCATGATATATGGGATGTTTTGGAACTTCAATGGTTTGCGAATAAAGTTTGATGTTGATTCGCTTTAGGGCGTTCGAGTTGGCTGGTCGGGGGCGGGACTGGAAAGAGAGAAAGGGAGGCGGAGCATAACGGTTCCCATAGTGATAATGGCCCCTCCTCTTCAGCGCAACTAAAAGATTATGAGGTTCGTCAGAGTTTCAAACTAACGATGTTTTGCTAACTTAAAATAGTAGAAACGCTCAGATATCAATTCCTGTTTCTTTTCCAGAAGAGGCGGGAAGACGCAGGGGGAGTGGCCTTCTCTTCCTAAGCCCCAACCACTGACTGATCGTAAAATTTCCCTCGCGTGTTAAGCACAAACATTCGGAGTAATTAAAAAACGATTAAACGGCTGATCCAGTCAGATTGTGGCCTAGAAGTAATTTTAACTTTTAAAAGGGGGCAAAATTATAATGTTTATTTATTTATTCCAAGTATTGATTTTAAAAATCAGATGTAAATACTGTCGTGACCATTCACACCAAAACGCTATGTGAACGGTCTTGTTTGCTAGAGTCAAACAAATGTTCGTCTAAATGTTTTGATAGCTCGGGATTTATATTGTACTTGACGAACACATGAACCAAATTCTTATTGGTCGACACATTTTTGTCGCCAAATGAGAAACCCGTTTTCATCGATTTTATCCAAAACCACATTTGCGCGACATTTAGATGGATCCAGTGTTCTCACCTGTACATACCTGCATCTGTTTCCATGGCGATGTGAGTCACATGGTCCCGGAGTCGAACACGTTTGGGTCCAAACTACTTGTAACTGTATGACGGATGAAGGATTGTCCCATCTTCTGTCTCAACGACTCTCTTTTGTTTAGATGTCGTTGGAGATGAAAAACGTTCGTTATTATAACGTTTAAGTGTTTTTTTGCACAGTTTACGTCATCGATCTTCCATCGCTCGTTGTACATTATTGTCACCTGTTATTTTCATCCACGCTTCCATCTCCACGTCTTCAAGTATTTTGTATATGACAGCAGTATCTGATGTAGCTGTACATTTTTACTGCCGGTGTTTTTCTACAGAATTATCATAGCTGTTTCGAATTTATAAATATACAGTACATGTATATCATACCAGCATTTGTTTCTTAGTCTGCATGTGGCACTTCATCATTCAGCTAATAAAAAATATTTTAACAAATTGAGTGTTGTATGTCTCTTATTGTATAGATTTAGATCTCGTAAAGAGTTAGCTGCTAGCATTTCAGATCGTACATTCTTCAACTTAAATATACACGTTAAGTGATTTGTTTTGCTCATGTGACTGAGGCTGACCTGCCTGCAGTGATATAAAGGTAATAAATATTAAAAGCTATTTAAACATTTCCGTGTTCAGTTAACGTAAGATAAATGTAGTCAATTTTATGACTGACAACCAAATAATCGGCTAGCATTGCCTGATCAAGCTAATACATAAATTTAAGTTTGCAAGTTCACCGATTAGCCTGCTAACCTATCACAACGTGTTTGTTACTACATACATTTTAGTAGGTAAGATAGCTGATTACCATGTTAAGCTATCAAAACGTGTTCAAGTAACTACATAAAATTTAGTAACATAACCGATCGGCGATTAGCCAGCTAAGCTATCGGAAAGTGTTCGAGTTACAACATAAATTTCAGTTTGCAAGTTCACCAATTAGCCTGCTAACCTATCACAATGTGTTTGTCACTACATACATTTTTGTTAGTAACGTAACTGATTAGCATGCTAAGCTATCCAAACGTCTTCAAGTTACTACATAGATTTCAGTTAGCAAGTTCACTGGTTAACCTGCTAACCTATCACATCCAATTTAGTACATTTTCATTAGTAACATGGCAAGCTGATTAGCATACCAAGCTATCATGTGTTGCTGCTGCTACATACATTTCAGATAGTTAGCTAACTGATTAGCCTGCTAAAATATCACTCTGTGCATAAATAATAAATAGCTGTTACATAAATATACCTAAGCTACTTGATTAGCTTGTTAAGATATTACAGTCAATAATTTAACCAATTAACCAAATCAAAATTAAGATTCAATCAAGATTCTCCTCAGACTTCTGCAACATACTTAAAAAGAGTACATTAAATTATTTTAAAAAGTAATTGCGAATTTCACTCACAATTCTGACTTTTTTTTCTTCGCAATTTAGTCAGTACTTCGGAAAAAAAATCTGAATTATGAGATGAAGTTGCGCGATGGCATTTTCTCTAAAGCGGAAACAAGCTTCCATTATTACGATTTGCTTTTTGACGGTAAAAATTTTACTAGCGTAGCTAAAATTGTGTATTTTCGTAGAGTGCAATATCTGCTCATAACTGATCAAACTTATGCAAAGTTATCATTGAAAACACTTTCCCCAACATCTTTTACATGACTTTATTAAATTCAAATAATAAAAACAGACATTTATAAACACACAATCCAACCGATAACATCGCAGGAGAAGTCTGTTAACAGTCTAAAGAAAAACGTAAATTAACGTTCGAAAGCGTCACCGATAATCGTGTCTTTGGTCGCAGATCTGAGATGATTTGAGGAAAACCCGACGGTATTAAACATCAAACTGATTATGCAGTTACAACACAGTATGACGTACACAAATCTCTTCGTCTCGGATGTTGATTGGTCGAAAACATTGTCAACGTCTCTGTAACGTGTTCTCGCTATTCTCTATCATTTAATGGCGGTCGACAAACCAACTTTGGTTGTAATCTCCATTGTGATCCTCGGTTTCACTCTGATTTGTCTTTCCTCTTTCCTGTGACTTTATTGGCTACCGTCGAGCCCATCGAGGACACGCCCCCTGCCACAGCCGAGACTCCGCCCTTCACCAGGCCGACGCCCACCGAGGGGACTGCGGTCACAGCCGATTTGGTGATTTCGTAACTTTTCCCGCCCAGCCAGGAGACTCCGCCAACTGTGGCTCCGACCACGCCCCTCACTACACCCGTCACCCGCCAGATCATCCCGGGCGGAGCCGTCGCGAGGTCCTTACCGCCCTCTGCTGGCGATTAGAGGAACAGCGCTCAGTTATAAGAAAACATTTAACATTAATAACCAGAAAAAAACAAAAACGGATTGAAATTGGTGATGCGTGTAGCATGCAAACGTTTATTATGCATCTCTTGCATAAAACTCCTTATCGCCATCTGCTGGCGATTGAAGGAAACGTCGCTTAGTTCAAATAATGCACCGAACTTTTGTGTCTTAATTCTTAAGATTTGCAATTAAAAAAAGAAATATAAATGGCAGACAATTTTTTTTTATAATAGTAATGCACAAAACGTTTAACATTAATAACCAGAAGTAAAACCGAACCGGGTGAAATATGAGCAGATTTCATATTTCCTGGTGATGTGTGTCGCATGTAAACGTTTATGCATCTCTTGCATCATCAAACAACATTTAGTCCGAAAGCAAGCATGAATCCCCAGCGCGCAGGAACGCCTCGCAGGAGAAGTGTGTTATTCCCCAACGAGTCACACAAACACTGAAATAGCCAACAGCAAATCTCACATCATCTCACGAGAGCGTGTGTGTGTGTGTGTGTGTGTGTGTGCGTGTGTGTGTGTGTGAGAGAGAGAGACAGTGTGTTTGTGTGTGTGTGTGTGAGAGCATGTGTGTGTGAGTTTGTGTGTGTGACAGAGAGTTTGTGTGTGTGTGTGTGTGTGTGTGAGAGAGAGAGAGAGAGTGTACTAAATAAACTGTAGTTACATGATGATCTCCAGATGGAAGCTAAATCTTCACATATGTAAAAATGGCTGATGAATAGAGTAGATGATGTGTGTGTGTGTGTGTGTGTGTTGTGATCAGATGATTATGAGTTATGAAGACTCGTACCTGTGTCTGTGTGTTCCTCTTGTCCTCCATATGTTTCACTCCTGGACGGAACTTCTGAATTCACACTCTAAATCAGGGAAATAATAATATTCACAAAGTTTACTAATGAATCAATTTATACACATTTTAAAAATCGAAACTGATGCAGGAACACTAATTACTCACACATTACTATCATTATTAGTGCGATGATTCGAGAATGTCGATACATGGAAACTTTATTTTCTTTATGGTAAACATTCAAACACACTCTTCTGCTTGTGCATGATGCATCTCTTAAATGCGACTTTAAATAATATTTCTGAAAAATGCAATATCGCTCCGAAGAACACTTTCATAAAGTGTTTATCATATGAAATGAGATGCAGATTTGTCCTCACCTTCACCATGATGAGCAGAGGAAACTTCACCGCATTCCTCTCCAGACGCGCACAGAACTCATCAATGTGTGTGTGTGTGTGTGAAGAGACTCCACTGTGGCGACGTGGCGATCAATCCACACCAGGATGCGAATCAACCGGGCTCATGAATATTCATGACGTAACGGGACGCTCGCGCAGTGCTCCTTTGTGATTGGTGGAAAAGGGGGCGTATTGACTCGAGAGAATGAGTTATGAATAGCAATCGCGTTACGTGACTGGACGCTCCGAGAAAATAAACAAGGCACGTCGGCAAAACCTAATTAATATTCATGAGCACCGCCTTCGCCATAGTAGGATTGGTCATAGATATCTGCATAAATATATTATAATATATATTATATAGATATCTATGCGATTGGCGACTTTAACCCCCGGATATTGCGTCACAAGAACTGGATATTCAAAATCACGTTCTTAAACATGATGAAAGCTATACTAATAACTGATATACACTCCAAAAATTCAATTAAAAAAATCCTGTTATTCTTATCAATAATGAAGTTGTAAGTCTAGGGTTTTTTTAAATTAATTTTATTAATTCATACTTGTTATTCATATTATGTTACTGGTATTTTTATTTATTTTTTTGTTATTTATGGATCGTGATGACTGATTGTTTATCAATTTAATTATAAATATTTTTTTTCTATTTTTTTATTCTTAAACAAAAATGTCAACCAGAAAAGCTCTTAAGAATTTATGGAATTAACAATAGCAAACAGCACTTTATTAAAATGGTAAAATGATTCATATTTATTTCTCTGACTGCATGTGAGGAGATGCAACTCTGTTACGTATGATTTTTATTTAAACACAATTTATCTTTTATTTTGCACATGATATTTAATGACAGACAAACAAAATGTGCATTAGAAAGATTTTCAAGTTTCATAATATACCTTATTTGGTTAACAAAAACTCTCATGTACAAAAAAACCCACACCAGTTCAACATGCAACTCCCAGTATGTTTGAGTTCAAATGAAGCGCGACATCATGCTGTTCCGTTCGGTATGTCACATGATCCTCAAGTACAGTCATGTGACATCTTCGCTGAGCCGTACAGTCTCTGGCGTCCAGCTGGAGGGGCGGGACTTTTGATCAGAGCTGCCACTCAAACGTTTCACCCCTCGGTGTGGCTCCGCCCCCTCTAGAAGCTCCTCCTCCTCCTGCAACTCACGCTTAAGCCCCGCCTCCATCGGGTCATCAGTCACATCTGCAGGGAGGTCAAACAAGTCAGTGTTTATGATAATCTGGTGGTATTTTCAAGCTTTTTAAAGAGTGAACGCTCAGCTATGTCTCAAAAGTATACGTTTATTGAGCGTTTTACCTCGCGTGAGTTCTGCCGTTTTCTGCTGCTCCGTGCGCACCTGACGCATCAAACCCAGGTTCCTCTGACTCGCCTCTGTGTGGCACACCATGGGACAAGGATAGTCCTTCCCTGCACACACACACGGGTCAAAACATTACTAAACCCCAGTGGCAGTGATGGGTTAGTTAGCGTCTAGCATCTTTGCGTACCGATGATGCAGCCGGCGCTGAGTTGGACGTCTTTAGGTGCTTTCCACGGCTCGTAAATATACTGAGAGGGGAAGTTCTTCAGCACGGGCAGGTACTTCCTGCAGATCCAACACAGAAGTCATGAATACTAAACAGCAGGGGCGTGGCAGAACATCATGAATATTAAACAGCGATGGGAGTGACAGAACATCATGAATATTAAACAGCGGTGGGCGTGGCAGAACATCATGAATATTAAACAGCGGTGGGCGTGGCAGAACATCATGAATATTAAACAGCGGTGGGTGTGGCAGAACATCATGAATATTAAACAGCGGTGGGCATGGCAGAACATCATAAATATTGAACAGCGGTGGGTGTGGCAGA